TTTTGGGGTGTTTCCCGTCGAAACTCTACCCCCTACCTCGTGCTCCTGCCTACTGCTCTAACCTCGTCCCCTCCCCCGAACAAATGTGCCCGAAAAGCAGTCGCATAGTGTTTCGCAACTACGAAAGTGGATGAAGGCCACCAGCGCAAGGCCGTTACAGCAAACAAACCTTCCGCATTAGATATTTTACAACAGTACAGTTCGAACAAAAAAAAAACCTGCGACGGAGGGAAACTGATAGTATTGGGTAATACCAGCTGCTTGTCCAATATAAGCTTCCTAACCGATAAAGGTTCGCGCTGAACTTGAATGTTTATAGCTCCTAATAAAGCATCCAGAACTTTTCTGAAAAGTATGCAGTGCAAATCAAAATTTCGCTACGGATAGTTCAAAACGAATGCCCGGATGAACAGGATAATTTAAAAATTTCGTAAAAACAAAAAAAAAACCCAAACACCCAACCTTATCGGGTCCCATACGAACAAGACGATGAGAAAACGCGACAAGCTTATCGAATTCAGCAGCCACCAAACAAAAGAAATCTCAAGAACATTTGGTTCCACAGAATAAGTGCTGGGCTTACAAGCCTGCCTGTTTTGCTCAAAACTTAATAGAACAAACAACAAGGTAATCAGAACGGTATGGTTCAATAAGGAAAAGGGGAAAAAGCATGGAAGGAGGACAAAGTCTGCCCAATCTCATGAAGGACACAATTCCGCAAAGATCTCGGATGGCACAAAAACTGAGTTGATGCAATGAAAAATTCTCAGGCTCAAAGAGGACAGGAACAAGCCGTTATATGCAAATTACCTTTCGATGTTAACTTTCATATCAATAGCATCCCTGATATACGCTTCCAGCTTGTCCAGCAGTGCCTCGCTACTTGTTAGCTCTGGCTTCTTCGTTGTCTACAAAGATATGCCATTTAACACCCACAAGTTTTCGCTGTGCCTGCTGTTTGTGAAGTGAATGTACGTAACTACCAGATTTCACAACAATTTGACGATCCTGAGCCTGCCGACTTCAAAAAAATTCATTTTTTATCAAAAAAAGCCTCTCATCTGCATTACTAATAGATCTTCCTTTTAACCCCCTCCCCCTTCTTCCCCCCAGGAATCCCATCCCATTATGCTTCTGGATAATAATTTAATATGACAACCTGCGTGTCGGGATCATCAGGTGCCGGAGACTTTCTTTCCCTTAGCTTTTTCGCAGGTGGTTCTTCAACATCTTCATCATCATCCAGTTCTGAACAATCTCAAAATGATCAGGCAGCTCTTTAGAAATGGGAAAAACAGAAGTATCCTGGAACTTGTGTATATCAAAACGGCTCGTTTGTAAAAAAAAAAAAGAAAAAAAACCTGCAAATCACAACTGAGGGAAGTCAAATTGCGCGGCAGACAGGAAAAAGAAATGAAACAGCAGAAAAACATAGCAACAACAAGAAAAAAGTCTCGGTCCAACGCACTGACAGTACAAAAGGAGAAAGCAGGCACACTATTGCATACTACGGCATCCTCCCGTCTTATGAGTTCACTGATATGTTATCTATTTGAAGTGAAACTTGCCTATACATTCCACGGTGCCCGAAGTGGGTTTTGCAGCGCATTCATCGAATTTTGCTTTCTCATCGGATGTTTCGCCGTCAGCACTGGCACGGTTACTCGACTTGCTCTCAGCAGTTTCAGCCTCTCCTGACCCGCTGTCCTCAGGGATGATATTCTCGCTGGCTTCACCGTCAACTAGCAAAACGTCATCTGCCTCACAATCAATAACCGCAACGCCGCTCGACCCATTTCCCAATTCGTCCGAATTATTCTCTGCAAAGTTATATTAAAATCAAATCATTTCTTTCACGCCCAACTCACCACTGTTCCATCATTTTTACGACGCCTTTACTGGGCTGAGTGAGATGGGCAAACATGGACTGGGACACACAAAACAGGATCAGAGAATGTAGGATATGCCATACTCCACTGCCCAGTGAAATTAGGACCAGCAGTGTAGCATAATGCCACCACTACCAGCGCCAATTTCTACTCTCATCCTGACTAATCAGGG